TTGAACTTTCAAGTGACCCTTTGGTGAAAAATTTATGATCGTGTTATAGTTGTGTTATGGTTAGGGTTAGGGTGATCGAAAGTCCTAGGAAGCAAAAGTTTGGTATCGTTAGAAACGGGATGACCTAAGTATTCCAGAACATCAAACCGTTTTGGAACATCGTCTTTCGTTTCGGAATTGTACGTGTTTGAAATTTCAAGGTGACGCCAATGGAAAAAAATTAATTATTGTGTTATCGTTAGGGTTTGGGTTAGGGTTATAGTGATCAAAAGTCCTAGGAAGCAAAAGTTTGGTATCATTAGAAACGGTATGACACAAGTATTCCAGAACATCAAACCGTTTTGGAACATCGTCTTTGGTTTTGGAATTGTGCGCGTTTGAACTTTTCAAGTGACGCTTTGGTGAAAAATTTATTATCGTGTTATGGTTAGGGTTGTGGTTAGCTATATAGGGTTAGGGTGATCGAAAGTCCTAGGAAGCAAAAGTTTGGTATCGTTAGAATCGGTATGACACAAGTGTTTCAGAACATTAAACCGTTTTGGAATATTGTCTTTGGTTATGGGATTTTACGTGTTAGAACTTTTCAGGTGACGCTTTGGTTTAAAAGTCAATGATCGTTTAATGGTAAGGGTTTGGGGCTAGGGTTAGGGTAATCGAAAGTGCTAGGAAGCAAAAGTTTGGTATCGTTAGAAACGGTATGACACAAGTATAAAAGAACATCAAACCGTTTTGGAATATAGTTTTTCGAATTGTACGTGTTTGAAATTTTCAGGTGACGCCCTGGCAAAATTTAATAAGCGTGGTATCGTTAGGGTTTGGGTTAGGGTTAGGTTAACCAAAAGTCCTAGGAAGGAACAGTTTGGTATCGTTAGAAACGGTATGACACAAGTATTCCAGAACATCAAACCGTTTTGGAATATCGTCTTTGGTTTTGGAATTGTACGTGTTTGAACTTTTTCAAGTGACGCTTTTTTTGAAAAATTTATGATTCGTGTTATGGTTAGGGTTGTGGTTAGGGTTTAGGGTGATCGTAAGTCCTAAGAAGCAAAAGTTTGGTATCGTTAGAAACGGTATGACACAAGTATTCCAGAACATCAAACCGTTTTGGAACATCGTCTTTCGTTTCGGAATTGTACGTGTTTGAAATTTTCAAGTGACGCCATGAAAAAAAAAATTAATAATTGTGTTATCCTTAGGGTTTGGGTTAGGGTTAGGGTGATCGAAAGTCCTAGGAAGCAAAAGTTTGGTATCGTAAGAAACGGTATGACACAAGTATTCCAGAACATCAAACCGTTTTGGAATATCGTCTTTGGTTTTTGGAATTGTACGTGTTTGAACTTTTCAGGTGACGCTTTGGGGAAAAGTTAATAATCGTGTTATGGTTAGGGTTGTGGTTAGGGTTACGGTAAATGAGAGTCATAGGAAGCAAAAGCTTGGTTTCGTAAGAAATGGTATGACACATGTATTCCAGAACAGCTAACCGTTTTGGAATATGGTCATTGGTTTTGTAATTGTACGTTTTTAATCATTTAAGGTGACGCTATGGTAGAAAGTTAATGACCATGTTATGGTTAGGGTTTGGGTTAGGGTTAGGGTAAACGACACTCCTTTAAAGCAAAAGTTTGGTACGGTTTCAATACGTATGTCACAAGTATTCCAGAACATCAAACCGTTTTGGAATATCGTCTTTGGTTTTGGAATTTGAAATTTGTTTGAACTTTTCAAGTGACGCTTTGGTGAAAAATTTATGATCGTGTTATGGTTGGGGTTAGGGAAACTGAAAGTCCAAAGGATGCAAAAGTTTGGTATTGTTAAAAAGAGTATGACATAAGTATTTCAGAATAGCAAATCATTATTTAATATTGTCTTTAGTGTTGGAATTGTACGTGTTTGAACTTTTCAAATAACGCTATGGTAAAAAGCTAATGATTGTGTTATGGTTACGGTTTGTGTTAGCGTTAGGGTAACGGATAGACATACATGTAGAAAGCAAAAGTTTGGTATCGTTAAAAAGGATATGACATCACTATTCCAGAACATGAAACCGTTTAGGAATATCCCTTTTGTTTTGGAATTGTACTTGTTTGAACTTTTCAGGTTACGTTATGGTAAAATGTTAATGATCGTGTATTATGGTTGGGGTTTGGGTAAGGGTTAGGGTTACCGAAAGTCCCAGGAAGGACACATTTGGTGTCATTGAAAAGGGTTTGAGACAAGTATTCCAGAACAGCAAATCGTTTTAGATTTTCGTCTTTGATTTTAGAATTGTACGTGGTTGAAATTTTAAGGTGACGCTATGGTAAAAAGTTTATTATCGTGTTATGGTTACGGTTAAGTTAAGGGTAACGGATAGACATATAAGCAACTGTTTGGATTCGTTAGAAAGGGTATGACACAAGTATTCCTGAACAGCAAACCGTTTAGGAATACCCCCTTTTGTTTTCGATTTGTAAGTGTTTGAACTTTTAGGTGACGCGTCGGTAAAAAGTTAAAAGCATCAAAGTGAAAAAAGACCTAATAAAAATTGTCAACAAATAGAAAACATTTCTTGATTCGATCAATTTCTCCATAGCTTCAGCCCAGGTGACGTCGTGGTGTTCTCCTGTGACGATGGATTTGAGTTGATTGGGGAGAGAAACGCCACCTGTCGAGAGGCGAACAACAGTGGCGCATACTACTGGTCCAACCCTGCACCAGTCTGTCAGCGTGGGTATACGATTTTCTCGTCATACGCTGCAGTGTTGATTAACTTATCTGTATCGATATAGCCAACATAACCACCCATAGGCGCAACACACCAGCTTCGTAGGCACGCGGCGCTGCGGCAGCATGGTATGTTGAACCGAATGACCTGTTACTCCAAGCCTTGGCACATCTAACTCTAAGCATTGCATGAATATCAATAGATGATGCCTTTACTAAACGTACGAAAACTTTCGGCTGTTTTCAAATATTATATATGTGGGTGGGGGGAGTAACTTTCTGTTAAAAAGACCTTGCAAGTTTTATATGTATTATTTTCTGATTTCGAACAGCTGTAGTTGTCGATACCTGCCCGGCTCTACCTGACGTAGTGAACGCTGAGAGGACAGGAAACGGAACGGCTGTCGGGGGTGTAGTTTTGTACCAATGTGAGCCGGGCTTCACCATGACAGGAGCGTCCAGCCTCACCTGTCTAGCAGGTGTTCCACCCAGCTGGGACAACAGTCCGCCTAACTGTACAGGTAAGTACAGGCCATTCCGCCTAACTGTACAGGACAGTCCGCCTAACTGTACAGGTAAGTACAGGGCAGTCCGCCTAACTGTACATGCCAGCCCGCCTAACTGTACAGGTAAGTACAGGAAAGTCCGCCTAACTGCAAAGGCCGATCCGCCTAACTGCTCTGAGGGGTACAAGAATGTCCACCAAACTGCACAGGAAAGTAAACCGAACTGCACAGACCAGTCCGCCTAACTGCACAGGCAAGTCCGCTTAACTGTAATGAAAAGTACAGGAAAGTCCATCTACCTGCATAGGTGGGTATGCAATAGCCGAACCACTATTACAGGTCAAATTAAATCGTCTGCTTTTCTGTACATTTTAGAACTGAACGTATTGGCGTACTGTAGAACACTCGTGTACACCATATGCACGTAGCCCAATAATGTGCATATTGCTTACGTGTCATAGTTGTTGGATCACTAAGGTTAGAATATAGCAAATAGGTTAAAGATCCCTGAAGTTTAGTGAATCGTGGTCACTTGTATGCTAAATGTTTAATAATGATCGTCCAAGACCCATTGTTTCTGACAAAGTATGGCATAGAACTTGGACGTTTTAGAAAGAAGAAATATTCCTTTTTCTGCACATAGGTCCCTGGTTTAGTGATGCAGTCGCAGCCTAAGAGTTAATGGTGGTGAGTAAACGAAACAACTGAAAGTACAGTGGATGATATGTAGATGTGTTTACAGCTGATACCTTTTTGACGTGCCTGTATCGTTCCTTAGCTACGTGCCCGGTGGAAGAACAACGTGCTGCCGGTTCTGGAGTCATTTTAAGCCCCGGGTATCCAGAGCAGTACGGAACCGACCAGGACTGTGTTTGGGTCATACGTGGGTGTGGAGGACCGGTCACCTTATCCTTCCGGTCCTTCCAGACGGAGGATGGGTACGACTTTCTTAATGTGTATGACGGTAGGTGGACAGACTTTAAATATATTATGAAAGTCAATGGTATTTTGATAGAAGGTAACATATAGTAGCTCCTCAACTTCATTGTATGACATCTTACTTTTATGATTGCTGCTCAAAGTAGGAAAAATAAATAATATATCTCTTGTTATTTATATCAGAATACAGAGTCATACATCAGAAAGAGACACTGTGATGTTTTTCGCTAATGATATTTCGCAGTCTTGTCTACTTAATTGCGTAACCTCTACTAGTACTGTATCCTCCAATGCCCGAAAGGAAAAAAAGAGGGTATCAGAATACCGAGTCACACAACCGGCCTGCTTACAATGTATGTAGTAGTATCAGCAATAGGTACATGTTCCTTGCTGATGTTTGCAGGTTTAGCATGCAAAACCGAAATATTTCGCCAGGAGTATTTCCTCCGCTCTAGCGAAGCCACTCTGAGAGACAGTCCACTAAGGAAGACCTTTGAAAAAGGCCCTGAAATAACATGGTGTTTCTCGGTGATTTTTTGTTTCTCTGTAGGTTCACTGGACACCGCAGCTGTAGAGTACAGCGGGCAGCCGGACCTGAAGAACTACACCAGCACCACGTCTGTACTGTACCTGCAGTTTACAAGTGATGGGAGTGTAACCGACAGCGGCTTCTGGATCGACTATAGCTGTGAGTCACCCAGTTTCTTGGATTGTCTCTTCTCAGTATACATACATTATATGTATAATCTACTTGAGTAATCTCAAATGGCAATAATGCCTAATCCTCCAAAAATATATAGAGTATTCTCTTTGCGTGTGTTCTCACCCGCGGTCGCAAGTTTTGTGTCAAGTTGATACTTAATAATTCTTTAGGATATCCCTTATTTGCAAAAGGGAAGACGAAAGCAGCTAATCTACCTGGATTCCATAATACATAATGTCACACTTACTACACAATTATATAAAAGCGACAACATTACACTGCTTTACAACATGAATAAAAGAATGACTAATTATAATACATTGATTTGGTCTGCAGTGATTTAGTTTGCGTTACTTTTGGAACTGAACAGAAAAAAAAACTATGTACAATGTATATCATGTTTATCCAAATGTAGCCTTACTTAACTTTGATAATTTTACGCTACTTTGTTCCTCCTATATCCAGCGGCTTGCTGCAGTGACCCAGGAGCTCCACTCAATGGCAACAGAGCAGGAGACAGGTTTGTTACACGGAAGCTTTGTTTACACATTTAAATGTACAATATATCAATTTGTGTCGTGAAGACCATCTTAAAAATGTTATGCCAATTACAACCCTTATTTGCATGATGAGTAAGACAAAATAAATCAACAAAAGGTTTATATACCATTTGTTGTTTTATCTTGTCGTATACATTTCAAGGGGGTATAGAATTTTAAAACTCTAGTATCAAAGTGAAAAAGACCTTGCAAAAATTGTCTACAAAGAGAAAACATTTCTNCAAAATGTTCAAAAGTTCTATACATTTCAAGGGGGTATAGAGTTTTAACCCTATCTAGACGGGGGGGGGCTAAAAGTGCCCGCTTTGATGTCACATAACGTCTGAACGGCTAACGCTAGAACGGCCAAACCTGGTGACTTTTCCCAGAATATTGTTGGCAACAATTCTGTAACATTGGAATAAGACAATAATTTTTTTGTTGCCATGGGTTTCTGACAGGCATTTTTTTGAGAAATTTAATAATTTTCGTTTCAACAATATAATTTTATGGGTTTTATGTCAAATTACACAGTTTCTAATACATGTATTAATAACATCTCATATAATTTCATGTAAATTTCATCATTAAAAATACATAATTTTTGCTAATTTTATTACTTCATTAGCCAAAATCTAAGATGGTGGACCATATCATTAGAACAGGTATATACAAGTTATTTTCCTCAAAATTTCATCAATACTTCCATTTCGTTTTACAAAAAAGATTCATATGAATGTCTTTAGTCTGATTACCATGTATTTTAGGGTTTTTCCTGAAAAAAAAAAACAACTATTTTTAAAAATTCAAGATTGATGATCCAAGATGGTGGATAGCTTAAATATGCATGACGTCATTTATGATGTCATGCACTCGTTAGAGTTTGGGTTAGGGTAAGGGTGATCGAAAGTCCTAGGAAGCAAAAGTTTGGTATCGTTAGAAACGGTATGACACATGTATTCCAGAACACCAATCCGTTTTGGAATATCGTCTTTCGTTTTGGAATTGTTAGTGTTTGAACATTTCAAGTGACGCTTTGGTGAAAAATTTATGATCGTGTTATGATCGTGTTATGGTTAGGGTTAGGATGATTGAAAGTCCTAGGAAGCAAAACTTTGGTACCGTTAGAAACGGTATGACTCATGTATTCGAGAACATCAATCCGTTTTGGAATATCGTCTTTCGTTTTGGAATTGTACGTGTTTGAAATTTTCAGTTGACGCCATGGAAAAAAAATAATAATTGTGTAATATTTAGGGTTTGGGCTAGGGTTAGGGTGATCGAAAGTCTTAGGAAGCAAAAGTTTGGTACCGTTAGAAACGGTATGACTCATGTATTCCAGAACATCAATCCGTTTTGGAATATCGTCTTTGGTTTTGGAATTGTACGTGTTTGAAATTTTCAGTTGACGCCATGGAAAAAATTTAATAATTGTGTTATCGTTAGGGTTTGGGCTAGGGTTAGGGTGATCGAAAGTCTTAGGAAGCAAAAGTTTGGTATCGTTAGAAACGGGATGACTCATGTATTTTAGAACATTAATCCGTTTTGGAATATCGTCTTTCGTTTTGGAATTGTACGTGTTTGAAATTTTCAGGTGACGCCATGGAAAAAATTTGATAATTGTGTTATCGTTAGGGTTTGGGTTAGGGTTAGGGTGATTGAAAGTCCTAGGAAGCAAAAGTTTGGTATCGTTAGAAACGGTATGACACAAGTATTCCAGAATATGAAACCGTTTTGGAATATTGTCTTTCGTTTCGGAATTGTGCGTGTTTGAACTTTTCAGGTGACGTTTTAGTGAAAAATTTATGATCGTGTTATGATCGTGTTATGGTTAGGTTTAGGGTGATCGAAAGTCCTAGGAAGCAAAAGTTTAGTATGGTTAGAAACGGTATGACACAAGTATTTCAGAACATCTAACCGTTTTGGAATATCGTCTTTGATTTTGGAATTGTGCGTGTTTGAACTTTTCAAGTGACGCTTTGGTGAAAAATTTATGATCGTGTTATGGTTAGGGTTGTGGTTAGGGTTAGGGTGATCAAAAGTCCTAGGAAGCAAAAGTTTGGTATGGTTAGAAACGGTATGACACAAGTATTCCAGAACATCAAATCGTTTTGGAATATCTTCTTTCGTTTTGGAATTGTACGTGTTAGAAATTTTCAGGTGACGCCATGGAAAAACATTAATAATTGTGCTATCGTTAGGGTTTTGGTTAGGGTTAGGGTGATTGAAAGTCCTAGGAAGCAAAAGTTTGGTATTGTAAAACGGTATGACTCATGTATTCCAGAACATCAAACCGTTTTGGAATATCGTCTTTGGTTTTTGGATTGTGCGTGTTTGAACTTTTCAAGTGACGCTTTGGTGAAAAATTTATGATCGTGTTATGATTGTGTTATGGTTAGGGTTAGGGTGATCGAAAGTCCTAGGAAGCAAAAGTTTGGTATGGTTAGAAACGGTATGACACAAGTATTCCAGAACATCAAACCGTTTTGGAATATCTTCTTTCGTTTTGGAATTGTACGTGTTTGAAATTTTCAGGTGACGCCATGTAAAAACATTAATAATTGTGCTATCGTTAGGGTTTGGGTTAGGGTTAGGATGATTAAAAGTCCTAGGAAGCAAAAGTTTGGTATCGTTAGAAACGGTATGACTCATGTATTCCAGAACATCAAACCGTTTTGGAATATCGTCTTTGGTTTTTGAATTGTGCGTGTTTGAACTTTTCAAGTGACGCTTTGGTGAAAAATTTATGATCGTGTTATGATCGTGTTATGGTTAGGGTTAGGGTGATCAAAAGTCCTAAGAAGCAAAAGTTTGGTATGGTTAGAAACGGTATGACACAAGTATTCCAGAACATGAAACCGTTTTGGAATATCGTCTTTGGTTTTGGAATTGTGCGTGTTTGAACTTTTCAAGTGACGCTTTGGTGAAAAATTTATGATCGTGTTATGGTTAGGGTTGTGGTTAGGGTTAGGGTGTTTGAAAGTCCTAGGAAGCAAAAGTTTGGTATGGTTAGAAACGGTATGACACAAGTATTCCAGAACATTAAACCGTTTTGGAATATTGACTTTCGTTTTGGAATTGTGCGTGTTTGAACTTTTCAAGTGACGGTTTGGTGAAAAATTTATGATCGTGTTATGGTTAGGGTTGTGGTTAGGGTTAGGGTGATCGAAAGTCCTAGGAAGCAAAAGTTTGGTACCGTTAGAAACGGTATGACTCATGTATTCCAGAACATCAAACCGTTTGGGAATATCGTCTTTGGTTTTGGAATTGTACGTGTTTGAAATTTTCAGTTGACGCGATGGAAAAAATTTAATAATTGTGTTATCGTTAGGGTTTGGGCTAGGGTTAGGGTGATCAAAAGTCTTAGGAAGCAAAAGTTTGGTATCGTTAGAAACGGGATGACTCATGTATTCCAGAACATTAATCCGTTTTGGAATATCGTCTTTCGTTTTGGAATTGTACGTGTTTGAAATTTTCAGTTGACGCCATGGAAAAAATTCAATAATTGTGTTATCGTTAGGGTTTGGGCTAGGGTTAGGGTGATCGAAAGTCCTAGGAAGCAAAAGTTTGGTATCGTTAGAAACAATATGACACAAGTATTCCAGAACATCAAACCGTTTTGGAATATCGTCTTTGGTTTTGGAATTGTACATGTTTGAACTTTGAAGTGACGCTTTGGTAAAAAAATTTATGATCGTGTTATGGTTGTGTTATGGTTAGGGTTAGGGTGATCGAAAGTCCTAGGAAGCAAAAGTTTGGTATCGTTAGAAACGGTATGACACAAGTATTCCAGAACATCAAACCGTTTTGGAATATCGTCTTTCGTTTTGGAATTGTACGTGTTTGAAATTTTCAGTTGACGCCATGGAAAAAAATTAATAATTGTGTTATCGTTATGGTTTGGGCTAGGGTTAGGGTGATCAAAAGTCCTAGGAAGCAAAAATTTGGTATCGTTAGAAACGGTATAACTCATGTATTACAGAACATCAATCCGTTTTGGAATATCGTCTTTCGTTTTGGAATTGTGAGTGTTTGAACATTTCAAGTGACGCTTTGGTGAAAAAATTATGATCGTGTTATGATCGTGTTATGGTTAGGGTTAGGGTGATCAAAAGTCCTAGGAAGCAAAAGTTTGGTACCGTTAGAAACGGTATGACTCATGTATTCCAGAACATCAAACCGTTTTGGAATAACGTCTTTCGTTTTGGAATTGTGAGTGTTTGAACATTTCAAGTGACGCTTTGGTGAAAAAATTATGATCGT